GGGCATGGGCAGGACCGCAGAGCAGGGGTGTTTGGTTTTGTGCTATTAGAAAGTTGGCAACCCGAAGACCACATTGGCTGGCTATCAAGTGGTTCTGAGGATGGATAGAGATGGACTTTCCATGCTGATTCTTTTAGATCTGTTGGGTGCCTTTGACACAATGGAGGATAAAGAGGTGTTGGCCAACTTGGAGAGCCTAGGGAAGTAGATGGAGGTGTTATGGAGTGAGCCCATTCCTTTATTTCTCAGACATCCCAGAAGACAGTAACAGCTAATTACTCATTTGCAGAGTGTACCATGGTTCCCTTCCATGACTGTGGATAGCAGGGCTGCTGGGGTAAGGGGTTGCAGTGCTTTCATTATATAGATAAACCCATCTCTATAGGCCAGATCTTCAAGTCCATCATACAGCTTTAAGCCACCTATACACCCTCCCTCAACCATGTTGAGCCAAGCTACACCAGCCCTGATCTCTGGCGTAAAGTAAAACAGCTGCCCGCTGTTCCCCAGGGGCTAGGCTGGCAATCAAGGTTCATTCAAGCAGAAATGCTTTGGCAACATCCCCTTTCTCCAGCCACGCACACTTCTTTGCTGAGGCCACTGGGGGTGTCATGGGCGCCACTATGGTAATTCTGTGCTCCTGTATGATTTCCTTATATAGAAAGAATTATTCCCTGGCCAGCTGAGTCAGGTTTTAGGCAGCTTTGCATCACCAGAGCATTGCAGCTGCCTTAACTGGGCTCAGGGTCTGGCCCTCTATTTCTAGCTCATCTGACATGGCCAGTGCAGGAAATACGGCCAGTCGAAATGTTTTCTGACTAGTTACTTTCAATTTTACATTGATACAAAAACAATAAACTAAAGCTTGCCCAGTATCCAGCAGAGGCTGAGGCCTGAGTGAGAATTAGCACGTGGAGACTCGTTCCGAATAAGACTGAGGTGGGGCTTTGAAGCTGGGGGAGACGACACAAAGAAATGCCAGAGATGAGATCAGTTTCCTTGACTGGGGTTGGCTGAGTAACTTGTTACTCACATGAGGCCTGGTGTGTTCTCCAGCTGCTTCTGCATGTCCTGTTAGCAGCAGCTGCTAAGAGTCTGTTTGATCCATGTGATTTTCTTTTGGGGGCTACCCAGGCCTTCTCCTCTTGGAGGTTAGATTAGTTGTGTGCACCGCAGAGGGCTACACCTGAAATCTATTTGGAAATTGCAACTGAATGCAGTTGCTTCTTGTACCAAGGGGCATTTCAAATTGGGAGCCTATTATCCCTATGCGCCATGCCCTGCATTGGCTACAAATTGATTTCCAGGTGAAGTTTAAGGTGAGTTTGGCCTAAATGATTTGGGTCCTGACAACCTTGTGATACCAGGTCAGCTGTAATCAGTTGAGATGCCAAGCTAACAGCCAATGGCTTTTAAATGGGAAGGGCTTGGTGTGACATATCTCCTCCCCGCCTCCCTTCATCTGACAGATTTGGTGACCTTCAAAGAAAGCTGCAGGCCTCACCTATTTTCCCAGATTTTCCGGGGGGGGAACTGGGTTAGGTGCTAAATTGGGGTTTGGAATGCAGAGCAATTTGGAGTGTATTTGTGGTGCATATGGCAGTACATAATGCCCTGCGTAGGTCATTTCCTAGGTTTAAATAAATACTTTAATAGCCCAACATGCCAAATAAACTTCACACATGCATTTTTGAAACATCCCCTTCAGGTTTGTAAAAACATTTGCCCGAGGCTGCAGCCGCCATCTGTTCTGCTCATTTGAAATTTTGCAGTCTCCTAGCGAGAGCTCTCAAAAAGTGTCTCTCAACCCAAATTGCATACCAGCCTCTGTACAGCGGCTCTATTATCCAGATAAATTCAGGTGTGGACCCAGGCCATGATGCACTGAACCACATCCAGGAGCCCAGGTGAGGGTTAGCAAGATGGCTGTGTTATATTTCCTTTGAACAGCACACCGCAGGGGTTATATGCACGCTGCACAGCGACAAGTCAAATGAAGTTTACAAAAATACCTCTATGGGTACCTCTGTCTAATAGGAACTAAGTCAAAATATATCAGCTCCAGCTGCTGACAGGAAGGGCTATGAAATGAAACACGTTGCAAGTTGGCAGCAAGAGGCTTAGGCCTCATTTACACTTAAAAATTAGATCGACCTAGCTACGTTGCTCAGGGCTGTGAAAAAATTCCAAGCCTTGCGTGCCGTAGTTAGGTTGACCTATCCTCGGTGTGGATGCGGCTAGACTGATGGAAGAATTCTTCCTTCCACATAGTGACCGCTTCTTGGAGAGGCAGATTAACTACATCTATGGGAAAAAACCCTTCTGTCAACATAGGAAGCATAAACATTACAGTGCTACATAGGCACAGTTCCAGTGCAGTAACTGTAGTGCTGTAATATAGACAGACGGTTAAATAATCTTAGTGCACAGTTGCATGGTCTCTATATACCACAAATCTTAGGAATGTATTACTTGTAAAGGGACAAGGTGGGTGAGGTAATAGCTTTATGGACCAACTTCTACACTGCTATAGCTACACTGCATACAATGCTTGTAAAGGCAGCAGGCCAAATTCTGCTCTCAGAAGCCTGAATGTAAAATTTAAACCGACTCAAGTCAGTGGAGTTACTCTGCATTTTCACTGCTTTAACAGAGAACAGAATTTGGCTGGAGGTGTCTTAGGGTATTAAGTTCCATTAAAATAATTCCATTATTTTCAAAGGTAGGTTTAAAAGAAATTGAAAGAGGTTTTTAACTGCAGTAATTAGTGCTGTCAAGTGACAACTTAAAATCCATTCAGCCTCTACTGACAGACATAATGATATGCAAAGAAACCCATAACTGTCATGGGACTCATTGCTAATCAAAACACCCACACAAGAAAGAGCCATATTTAGAAGCAATCTCGATGTGGATATTGGTGGGGGTTGTGCTGGAAGTATCACTTCCCCACCGCCAGCTTTTGAGCAATATCAATGGTTACCTCACCAGTGCAGCACTGAAGGAGTTAAACTGATTCTCTAGATTCTTTCCAGGAGGATCACAAATACTGAAGTAAACAGATTTTTGTGCAATAGAGAAACCAGGCCAAATTCTGACCTCAGCTGCATCCAGGCATCAGACTTCAGTGGAGTTTCAGGAGGCAAACAAGGCAGTAGGCTGATTCCTGGCAAAGGGCCCCGGTGGCCAAAAATACACTCACACAGCACAGCAATAATTTGTGTAACACTAAGCACAGTTTCAGCTCAACAGCAGCCACAATGGACGTTCCCACACTTACTCTAGCCGTATTGCCAACCCCAAACATTACTAAATCATGAGTCAGACCCCTCCCCCGCCAAATCACAGGATTGCCTTAAAAATCATGAGCTTATAAAAATACAATTTTTAATTGCCTTCTGGTTTTGAACCTTTAGAGTTCACATTTTCCAGCTTTTCTGTTCTTTGCAGCCATGAGTGCTAGGCCCTTTCACTATATATATAAAATACGCATTTGAGAGTCTCACATATTCACATGATTCCAGGAGCTGGGACAACCAGAAAACCCCCAAATATCACAAGAGTTGGCAACGTGCTATGTGAACCACAAAACTACAGCAATTTGTCCACAGAGCTTGATGTTCACAAATAGGCAGCCTGACTCAGTAACATCACAGCTAGCTCCAGGCAGAGAAAGGTGGCCTGGTCATTTGGGAGCTGCTCACTTACAGTCAGTCCAGTGCACTCCAAAGGAATGTACTAAGCCATATGTGTTGTAATAGAGTCAGACGGGCTTCTCAGTGTGAACTAACAACTTTGTGCTCAGTAAACCATCTACACAATGTGTTTACTCTGAAGCCTAATGCCCCATTAGAGGTTAACTATTTCACTGCTGATTATTTTGGTAGGCACATGAAGCTCCAATGCTTACCTACTGCGGTTGGACCCTGGGGTGGATATTGGGAATATACCCTACCAGTTTAAAGAATAACCTACTGTTGTCAGTACTGGTACTTCCTGTGCCAACCTCTCTCCCCCTGACGCTCAGTGCCTGAGCTGACTGAATTACTCACCCCCCTGTCTAAGAAAATGCAGGGAGGGGAAAGAAACTGGTGGCTGTCTACCCTATCCCTTCTAGAGGAAAAAGGAAGTGGGGCCAAACTGTTTGTCACCTGAGTGCCTCCTCTAGAAGTGTATTACCAGCACTCCCGATTTCACTCAAATTTTAGCCCTGAGTCACAGGCCTCACTGAGTTGCCTTTGTCTGGGGGACCTGGAGCCGCTCTTTCAGCTTTTCTGCAGAACTCAGAACCTGCCTGTCCTCCTCCTCCCAGCTCTCACTGCCCCTCTCCCTGTTCCCTTATCCTGTACCTCCTTGCAGCACCTGCAGCACACAGGGAACAGCAGCAAGTGAGAGAGGCCGCAGGCCCCACCAGCAACAGCAGTGGGCACTGCCACCATGGGCTCCGGGGCTGGAGCACCCACGGGGAAAACCCACCGGCAGCCAAGCTCCTCTCTCCGCCCCCCCACCCCACCTCACCTCTGCCTCCTCCCGAGTGCACCGTATCCCCGCCTACCCCCCAGCACTTGAGGCTGCAAAACAGCTGTTTCACAGCGTAACAAGCTTCGGGAGGAAGGGAGAGGAGGGGGGAGGAGAGGGAACGTGGCACACTCAGGGGAGGAGGTGGGGAAGAGGCAGGGCCGGGGCGGATTTGGGGAAGGGGTTGGAATGAGGGTGGGGCAGGGGCAGGAGCGGGGTCGAGCACCCACCGGCGTTAGCAGAAGTCAGTGCCTAGGGCTGCTACGAAAGGAGGAGGGTGCAGGGAAGTCATAGTATCTGGAGGAGAGAGCAAACACAAAGGGAGGGTTTGGGGTAGAGACAGGAAGGAAGTACAGTGCAGTGTGCAAGGACCTGAGACAGATTGGAGATATGGCGGGGCAGGAGGGGTGGGCACACAAAGGAGAAAGAGGTGGGGAAGGTAGGCCAGGATCTCAGTGTAAGGAGGGGTGAGGAGATGCCAACTGAAGATACCAGGGGACATGCTGGCTTTGCTCCCAAACTCAGATTAACTGGCTCTAGCTGCAGTTCATTTACTGAAAGAGTGAAATTAATTCACCGGAAAAGAAGGCAAAGGGTTTTTCCACCACCCCTCAGGCATTGTTAGTGAGTGATCCCAGCCTCTCTCATTTAATTCTAACACACCCTAAAGAAACCATTATTATTCTGTCAAAAGAGGCTTTAAATATTGCCTCACGTCCTGCATGCAACAGTATTGCCATGTACAGATCCTGTCCTGACAATTCCACACACAAACATCAGCCTGGCAAGCAGAACATACTCTTAGACAGAATGGGTGTTTTCTCTCAAGAGTAATATATACTGTGCATCTCCCCCGGTCCTCTTTCCCTCTCCTCCAGGTTTCATTGCAGGCTGTGTATCAGTGCAAAAGATACATGACGCTTGAATCTGATTCTCATTCATGCCCATGTAATTTAGAGACAACTTCCATTCAGGTCAGTAGAATTGTACCTTTGAACAAACGATGGGAAATCAGAATTGGGCCTGTGGTTTGGACTGGAGCATATCCCTGAGTTTGGGAGGCTTTTAAGCTGAGGGTGCTGTGTTGGTCTGGTTAGTTCAGCCATCGTTATTTCGATTAGCTGAAATCATAAGCCTGTGCTTGCCCAAAAATATAATTACATTCCCCTCCCCCCGTTTTGTAATGGCTTTGTTTTAGATTCCTAGTAATGCTATGTTGATGGCAGAGAGCCAGTTCTAGGCTGATTTTTTTGTGGAGTGGTGGTGGTGGGGGGAGAATGCAGCAGATTGGTTTGTCAGCAATCCCTGTTTTGCTTTGGAGTTTTAAAGGACAGAAACGTTCTTCCAGCTCCGCTAATCCTCCTCTGATACAGAGGATTTTCCTGCCATTAAATGATAGCTTTGGAGGGGAAAAAATGCCAACTCTTCAGAGATGGACCAGTAGAACTAATGGCCAGGTCCAGAGAAGGATGGCGGATGCGGCCATTGCTCCATTAGGTAAGTGATGTAACCATGAATAAATGAGTTATTTTATTAAGGGTTCGTTGTGGCAGTTCATTGCTGGTTCAATAATGCTGCTGTGAAAAAGCATCTGTAGATCTGATTACGTGATCAGTCTCTAGCAGCCTAATGATTTTTCCTTATTCCCATCCATCTAGGCACATTTCAGTGGTTCACCTCATGTTAAAGATTTGGGCAAGCCCTTGCTGAAAAGCCCTGTGAAGAATAGTACAAAACCGAAGTGTGCACTGAAAAGGTCAGTGACAAAAATAAATAAAAGGAAGAAATCAATACGATGGTCTGAAGCTTAGGGGAGAGAGTTGGTTTAGAAAAACCTTTCCCTGTGGATTTCAATCTTCCTTTCTAGACACAGACTTTATAATGGGATGATGATATGTGTAAATGATAATGGACTGAAATGATCTCCGTTCCTTCCATCTACTTTTAGATCCCAGAAGTTTACTTGCCAGACCTGAAATGCCACAAGTGAATAATCAAGGTGATGTTTGTCATCATTTTAAATGGTGAGCAGTATTTTTATTTTGTGAAAGCCAATAGTAGTTTCTAGGATTAGACCAATCACTTTGAATGTTTTTGGCTAACTATATCATTTCAAACGTTGTCTCCTTGTGCTGCTGAAAACCCAATGCAGATAACTTATAGGTCTTCTCATTCATTTGTGCAAATATTAAAGTTATTTAAAATAATGTTGCAGTTAAATTGAATTGAGAAAAAAAATTCTCCCCTCCTCCACCCCCCACTTCTCAATCTCAATCACAGAACCAGTTTGGTGATATTCTGAAACTGACAATATTTTTTCATTCTTTTATATTACACATATTTAATTCAACCAATATTACCACAGATTCTCTGTCTGAGCTGACAGGAGATAAAAGTTCCAGCCAGTATAGCTGCTTGAACTGTACCAGACGTAGCCCAAGGAGCAAATGTGTTTTTTTGGGGAAAAAAAAAGTTTTGAACAAACAGAGTTTTCCTGTTTCCAGCTGAGATTTAAACACATTCATCATTTTTAAAATGATTTGCATAATAACAGCATAAATGTGTCAGTGCTTTGAATACAGATCTGCTGTCAAAAGAGATTAGAAATGGGATCAAGGTGCAAATTCAGATTGGCAACTAGGTTTGAATTTTGCACCCTCTCAGAATTTGGTGGTGTTCAGGTGAAGGATGTTAGCAGGATGCTTAACTGTAAAAAATAAGGGAAAAAATACTGCAAATCTTCTGATAGTGAGGGGTTCTGCGCTTTTTTTTTTGGTGGGGGGGAGGAGAGTTGTTGCTTGGAGGACATTGTCTTCTAAGGCTGGATTGTCCCCAATAATGGATTCAATATTTTATGCAGACTAGAGAGATTTATTTGTAAATAGACAACCTATTGTGTTGTGAAAATCTGCTAGCGGTAGATCCACATTCAGCAGACCAACAAAAAAACTGCTTGTTATTAGAATCTCATCAGACTAGGAAGTGACTTGGCTTGACCTGAACTCAGATGTTTTCTTCAGAAAGTCAAGGGATTAGAGAGCAAACTGGGAGTCAGGAGACCCGGGGTCTGTACTGAACTTGGCCACTGACTCATTGCATGATTTTGGGCATGTCACTTAGTCTCTCTTGGTCTCAGTTTACATCTTTGTAATGGAAATAATTAATTTAAAATGGCTGCTGTGTAACCGTGACTGAAATCTGTAAATCCTCCACCAACCTTTACGATGACTTGCAAAGGAAAGTTTTCACTAGGTTTGGGCTTTTTTTCCTCTTCATAATTTACAAAGAGTCTGAAAAGTGTTTTTTTAAACAATATTATGCTTATTTTTTACCTTGGAATTATCAGGAAAGTCAAATCAGGTCATCTCTTGTTTTGCCGGAGGAGCTATAATGGAAGGGATTTGATTGCTGAATTAGGAAAGGACTTCCTTTATCAAAAATGTTAATTAGTTATTGCAGTTAAATGCGTGTTAAGAAAAACAAAACAAAAAAGAATTTTAACAGTCTGAATAAAATTCCTCCCCCCTTTCAATTATTCTATGTTCATTGACTTGATTCTTGTAGTGTCACCGTTTTGCTAGTTCTCCAGTTCCCACATAGCCTCCAGGGTAATTTCTAAAGTAAAAAACAATCAGAATTTTTTTTGGTGGGGATGCACCCTGCTCCCATGTTCAGGCTTTCTTTATACAACATAAGGGCTCCAATCCTCCAGAGACTCATATGGTCAGACCCCAATGCCTTCATGGAATCCCATTGATTTTAAAGGGTTCTGTCAGGCAGTTTGCTTTGCAGGATTGGGGCCCGAAGAAGGATTTAAAAAAGGCACAAACCCAATTTTAAAAAATTTCTGCACAGGTCACCTTGAAAAGGGACAGAAATGCTCAGAACACCCAGAAAAGCTTCAAACAACAATTTGATTTGTATAGGAAAGCCAAAGAGTCTAGTTATATAGAAGATGGAGAGCTGCTGAAACTTAATCTTTTATAGCAAAATCACCACAAACAAGTGGTTGATCTTCCAAACCACCACACAAGAAGAGCAGGCAAAGGCAGCAATCACTGCACCATTAGTCCCCGAGGAGAGCAAATCTGGCCAGGCACCATTTAGTCTTGCAGCTTGCCTTTGAGGAATGGGCAGTCTCACCAGTGAATGCCCCTTCTGCTACTCAAGGGCCCAGCGTGAAACTCGTGAGGCTGGCAGTCCTGTGAGAGAGTTGGCTAGCAATGAGGAGGACACCTGGTTATTTTTTTTAAAAAGTAGCAGTGATATGAGAGCTGATAAACTGCAACAGAAAAATCACTCAGCAGGTGACACCCTGCCAATGACAATGTCAAGAGCTTGCGGATGCTCTGTTTCATTCCAGTTGAACAGGAGGTGGGACACACCTTGGGAGAGCAAGTACAAAATGAAATGTTTTCAGTTCTCTCCCTGAAGACTGTATTTCTCAGTCTTCCAGCTGTGTAGGCTTTCCCTTCACACACAGCCTCATCTGTCCCTGCTTACACTGCCTCCGGTTCCTGCTCCTCTTGTTTGAGTGGAACCAGGGAGTTTTCACCTTCCTCATCACTGTACATCCTTTTGCTTGATCCTAACTACACAGCCAGAACGCCATGGCAGCCATACACTTGCAAGGCAGCCAGGGTGCTAGGAAATAGTAACCAATGGGTAGAGCAAAGCAAGCACAATACCGGAGGCTCAGAGCATCACCTTTAATATGGAATGTCTAGTCTGAGGAAAAATGTGTTTCAAAGATATTCCTGAACCTGCCTTTCCCTCATGTTTTTCCATCAAATCCATTGCAGGAATGGCTTTTTAAATACTACACTTTACTTTTAACTGCTGATAGCTCTCCTTATATTAAAGCTCCTACCCAGGTCACTAGTGGAATAAATTTCAAAATGAATGGACTTATCCCAGGAAAAAGAGGCAAAACCTATGGACATTGCAATGCCTCAGACAACTAACCACTCCTCCTGCTAGCTGGCAAACCTGCTTGCAGTTCTTCCAAACAAACAAGCCAATCCCCCGCCCAGCTGAAAGACCTGCCAACCCCCAAAGCATCCCAGGCTCAGTCCCAGTGGGAGTACCTAGACATTAATTATGGTGATACTGAGAAAGACGTGACAGAAGGTGGAAACATTCCTAAAAGAATTTAGTAGGAAATAAATTCAACAGGATTATATAGGAACCGACAGAATTTGAGAGAGATTAAATCCATTATAGAATTCCACAGGAGGCCCTAGGGCAAAATAACCCTTCTTGAGTAAATTCTGTAGGATTCTTCCATGAGAGTTCCTGGTTCTCCTTTAGTGAAACTGTATTTAATGGGTCATTATTAGCGGTCTGGCTAGATCTGAGGCATAAATTAGTCTTTTGGTCATAATTAACATTTATTAACTGCTCCTGTTTCTCTCTCTCCTCTTCCCCCCAACCCCCTGTTATCTGTGTGGCAATTGTACTGCTCCCACCACCAGTCATTCTGTGTATCCCTCACATCCATGCTGTGTGGGCCTGCGTACGTTCCTGCCCTGCCAACTGCGTGTGCACCCAGGAGCGGAGCTGTTCCGTCCTGTGTGACCGTGCCGGCCTTCTGCAGATCCCCAGCGACTTCCCCTGTGAAGCCTCCTCTATCAACCTGGATAAAAACAGTATTAAATTCGTCTCAGAGAGGGCCTTTGGGACCCTGCCTTCCCTCAAATCTCTCTCACTCCAGCACAACAACATCTCCTTCATCACTCCCGGGGCTTTCAAAGGGCTTCCCAGGTTGACTGAGCTTAAAATGGCTCACAACGAATACATCCGCTACCTGCACACTCGCACTTTCACTGCCCTCAGAAGGCTTGTCAGACTAGACCTTGCTGACTGCAACCTTTTCAACATCCCAGACAGGATTTTCATAGAGCTCCCTGCCCTTCAGGAGCTCTTCTGTTTCCAGAACAATTTCCGAAGGATCCCTGGAGCCATACGAGGCATGGAGAATTTGACCCATGTTTACTTGGAGCGAAACAAGATAGAAGCTGTAGCCTATAATTCTCTGCAAGGCCTCACCAGGCTGAAGTATCTTAACCTCCAAGACAACAGAATAAATGTCATTCATGACCAAGCCTTTCAAGATTGTCAGAAAATGGAGTATCTCTATCTGAATGACAACTTGCTTAGTGACCTCCCAGAAAACTCCTTTGATGGGCTGAGATACCTGAAAATGCTCAATCTTGGTGGGAATTTTCTCAGGAATGTGTCCAACACCTGGTTCCGGAACCTGGTTCAACTGGAGGTTCTGTACTTGGACCGAAATAGGGTCAACTACATTGAAGAAGGGGCTTTTGAAAACCTAACCAGCCTGGTCTCTTTGCATTTGAACAGTAACAACCTAACTACCCTGCCTTTTTCCGTCTTCCAGCCAGTCTATTTCCTGGGAAGGCTCTATCTTTTCCGGAACCCCTGGGAGTGTGACTGCAGGCTTGAATGGCTGAAGGAGTGGATGGAGAATTACAGACTTGTCAGGGATATTCCTTGTGTCTCCCCCTCCTCAGTAGCTGGTATTGACTTGGCGGATGTGCTATTTGACAGATCACCTGAAGGTTACTGTCTTGACCCAGTGGAGTTAAACGTCACGTCCTACAGCCCAACCCCGACTGAAGAGCCTCACTCTACCACAGAGAGCAAGTTCAGCAGCCTTATCTCCAAACTTCTGCTCCAGGAGGGCCTTCCCGAGGGGATGGCAAACACCTCTGAAATATTAACCAACACCACCCTGTTGGACAGGCTAGGTGATGAGGTTTCTTCAGGGGTGGGGGAATATGCTATCTCCTGCTCTTTCCACCTCCTGGCACTCATTACAGCTCAAGCAGTGATGGTTCTGCAGAGTAAATAACCCAAGGGCTGCCTCAAGCACGTTGCTATTTAAGAACTGAGTTTCTGTAGAATGTAGTCATTAGAGAGGAGCTGATGCTGCAGAGTTCAGATGCTGATCTGACTCCAAATTTCCCAGCAATACAGCGGGTGTTTGGGTCCAGGAGTTTGATTTGGGCCCATCTTTGGAAGTAACTAATCTCCTGGAGGCAGGGATTTTATCTTTTTTGTGTTTGTAAAACCCCATGTACTTTGACAGAACATTATGAGATAGCAGCAATAATAAGGAGTTTGAGCCAACTATTGTCTCTGGGACCGCAGCTTTCCCCCGCTAGATGTGAACTGAAAGGGCACCTTACTGAAGACAGCACTGCAGCATATATTCATTTAGGGTCAATCCTGATTCCCTGGAAGTCTCTGGAAAAACTCCCACTGATTTTCATGGGTGCAGGGATTGAACTCTAAACTGCGAGCCTCACCCATAGATCCTGAGACACATAAGGAACCTGATCATCTGCTTATGGTGTTTTATGCTGATATAACTCCATTGACTTCAGTGGAGTTACTTCTGATTTACACCAAGGTGGGAGGAGAATCAGATCTATTCTATTCAACATGCACACCTGCTGCACTACACAGTGTGCACAATGCCAAGAGGAAGGGGGGAAAGTGAGCAGGTCGGTAGCCCTGTGCTAAGGTCTGTGGCTTATCAGTCACATTGGAAATTGCATTTGGGAAGAGCAAGCCATTTTGACTGGGCCTACATTTTTCTCATTCTCCCACCGCTGCTCTAATATAGTGTTTCTCCATGACCGGTCTGTGGACCGGGTGCCAGTCCCTGTGATCGCCCTGACGCAGTTTAGGAAGGCAGCAGGCCGGTTCCTGGTACCCAAAAGGTTGAGAGACACTGCTCTAGCACCTGTACAGCCTCAGTGGTGCTCAGAAGAGTGAGCGCGCTCATGTAGAGAGGGCAGCAATGCTTTTTCCAACTTGTCGTCTAACCCTCCTTAGAGCAGATTTAGATGACACGGTGGCAAAACCACCAGTGGCCTGTCTATATTAGCCCTCCCACCTAATACCAGTGGAGCTGTGCTGGTGATAGACCAACAGTGGGGGCACCTGAAGAAATATGGCTCTAAAGCAGGCTTCTCTGACCTGGTAATTTCTTTGGGGCCTGTATGTGGGTATACAAACACAAACCAACCCCGCACTCTCTGGGGAGGACAAAACTAAAAGGAAAATAGACAAGAGACTGGGGAATAAATGGCTGAATGATGGTGGGTAATACAGGATTTCACCACACAAAAACTAATTTTAGCAGTTTCCCTGTGCTTAAATCTGTGACTGGCTATTGCCGGGAAGAATTGGGGAAACAGAGTTTTAAAAAGGGCTTAAAAATATGACTGATTCTGCATGTAAGTCACACAGGCCAACCACAATAGCTTCCACTAGGCCATTATTTAACAACTCTTTAGTGGTTGTGTCCTCAAGGAATGTGACCATTCCGAGTTAAACAGGTCCACTCCTCGTTTCTGCCGAGCCCCTCACAACTGAAAAGAGGCAGCAATGGATGTGGTAATTAGGCCACAACTTTATTCACTTAAAATATCTGGCAGTAAATTGTACAGCGCAGGTCACCATCCTTTCCTTAATCATTTCAAAATAATCTCCCACCCAGTCCCAGTGCTGGACCCTGCCGCCATCTCCTTGTATAAGGTAAAAGAGGACTCAAAGAAGTGGGGTTGGTTCCCTGCTGTTCCAGACACAGGAGCCCAGTACTGTCCTTCCTCAGCTCCCTTAAAGAGAGCTAGAAAAAAGTGTGTGTGGGGGGGAAGGGGACGGGGGGAGTCAGCTCTCTGCTGTACCAGAAAAGGGAACTCCAACCCCTTCCTCAGAATCCTTAAGGGATGCTTTCTTTCAGATCTTTTTTCTGTCCGTTTTAGTGGGTGACTGGACCCTTCCATAATGCGTATGCATACTGGACACCTGCCACAAGTTTTACCTATTAAAGGGTGATATTATGACTTAACCCCCCTACCCCACTGTACTGGGTCCCAGATCTGCTGTGGGAAAGGTGAAAAAAACCACCCTGCCTTGGCCACACTGGCAGTGAGGGAAAGATTCCTGCCCAGCCCCCAGTGAAAAAACGGGACTAGCATTATTTGGGGGGGGAGGGATAGCTCAGTGATTTGAGCATTGGCCTGCTAAACCCAGTGTTGTAAATTCAATCCTTGAGGGGGCCATTTAGGGATGTGGGGCAAAAATTGGGGATTGGTCCTGCTTTGAGCAGGGGGTTGGACTAGATGACCTCCTGAGGTCCCTTCAAACCCTGATATTCTATGATTCTATTCTATGCCCACAAGAAGGTCATGAGGAAACCCAGTCCTCTTGCAAGTTTCATGGGAGATGGGAGAAATCATGGCCATTTAGCTTATGCAAAATGACTGTTCAGCTTATGAACTTCCAGCCCAGTTGGTTTTTAAAAGCAGAAGTATCCTCCTCCTCAGTAAAGTGTACCAGCCAAAACAGGGGTCTCTCGGGGCTTAATGATAACCTCTATTGGGCTCTGGTATTATTTACCCCACCTTTTCAAAGAAAAACAACTGCATGACAATTAACAGCCAGCAATTTCTGGAGTGGTAAATATTCCCAAATTAAATCATGTTAGTGGAGGTAAACTCCTGATCTGTCTGTAGTTATATTCAATTTTTTTCCCAGTGAGGATGCCAGATGGTTTCATAAATGCCAGTTTGACCTGTTTGGTGCATTAAATTCAATGACTTTGGCTTTCCAGGCTATTTATGAATGCATTAATCTTCTTAAATGCTAAATTCATCTGTGGATTATAAATGGTTGTTTTTCAAAACCGTACCAGCCAAATGCTGTAGACTAAGTTGAAGATTTCTTTAGAGGAGCATTATTTCACCCCATCACTGAAGGTTTATCAATAGAAATTTGACACAAGTTGCTAGTGCACTGGGCACAGGGGTTATTTTTCATTTCCTACAGATAGATATTTGTTGTATGAACGGAATATTTTTATCTTCTGCTCCAAGATACACAAAAACTGAAGGGCATCTTATTGTGCAATTGTTACAGGGAAGCAGAATGTAGATTTCAAGTTAACTCTTGCTTCAAAGGTCTTTCTTTTTAATTCCGAAGAGGCAGGTTAAGCTCTGAATCTGAATCAACTCAAAGTTTATGATTCAGCTGTGACATTTGAGAAACAATAATGTGGGATGAGGAACATGCCACCACATACGACATTTTACTGCTTGATAACAACAGTTAGAAATTCAGAGTGCTGGGGCAGTGGTCTTAGTTCCTTACAAATTATGTAGCCAAATAGTCTTACCATTCCCAGAAAGCTTTTTTCCGTAATAAATCTGTGGCTGCCTAGAAACTTCATAGCTGTTAATATGCCGTACAGCGTTGCCACTCAACTTCACTGCACCACAGGGGCCAGAGCTCATCTTCTCCCAATTGAAAAGCCTACCTGAGCTAAGAAGCAATCGGCATGTTATTACCAGTATAGAACATATGACACACAGTTGAGCAGTTCTACTTCTGTTGAGAAGAGGCCATAGTATGTGCATGTACACACACAGGCAAATTCATTAACATGAAACAGTTTGACTCACATTGTTAATACATTTCCTTAACTCTGGCTGACTGATTTGGTGACTGTTAGGGGGCTTATTCCTTCACTCACTTACTGCCCTGGTCCTTCTTGCATGAACAGAGAGCAACAATACCAGAAGTCCAAAGGTGCAAACAATTCAGTGTTTATTGGGGTGAACTTCCAGCAAGCATGATTCCAGTTTCCTTCCTTAGTGTCCCCCTTCCCAGCTCTGACACCACAGAGCCTTACACCTGTGTCCCTGTTCCCATTCCTGCCCTTAGCCAAACATGATTCCAATTTCCCCACTCCCATTCCCTGTTCCCATTTCCCCCACCCACACACTTCCTGATTGACTGCAGACTATATAGTAAAACTTGAGTTCTGCTTAGCTATACTAACCAATCATTTTCCTGAAATTTAACTAATCAATCCTAACATATTGTAACATGGATTATGTAACCAACTATATCCCACCACCTTAATTAGTTTACACCCAGCAAAATTAATTATACAGCAGATAGGAACAATCACAGAACCAGTCAGAGATTATACAGACAAACAATAGCAAAAAGGGGAACTATAATGACAAAACAATACAGAAGCAAGGATTTCACATCCCAGCTATTGATAAGTGAGTTCTTGCCAGACAGGATGCTATCAAACTAAGTTTCCTTTTACATTTTCTAGGCACTTCCCTTTCTCTGGAGGCCATAGGCATCATCAGGACAGGATTGTATTCCTAACAGCCCAACAGCACCTTCTTTCAATGTGACTAGTTTGGAATGTGAGGATGTGACCGGTCGCTTCCCAGCTTATGGCTGCCTCTGCTGCTTAGCCAAAGGCCTTAGCCTAAGAACAGGGCCTCAGACCGTCATAGTAAGAGAAGGCCCTTACACTGGCAGACAGTGATTTTGATTCTCTCTTTCTTTTATACCTCTATAACTTGCTAAGTGATAAGAATACACCTAAATTCTCAGAGTACAGGCCTTTACAGACAGGCCTGAATATCTATATATTCAGTGTTATATATAACAGTGACTCCTCCCCAGTAAAGAAGAAGTCTGGAAAACAAAGGGTTATGTTTCATTAACCAATAGTTGCAATTGAAAGCCTGGAAGGAGATTTCAGTGCACCGTGGGAATTTTAAAGCATGTGTTGGGCTATACATGTCCTGTCTATTTGTTTACCTTTCACCAAGCTTCTTTCTAAGACCCTATGTTCTTAACATACAGAGTATTACACTGAGGCATCTAGTAACAGTAAAACTGTTTTTAAATAACTTCTGTTGAGTAGGAGGCAAATTAAAATGGAGTCTTATCTTTGGTTCGAATAGTTTGACTTTGTTCTAGGGATGGGCTCAAGCTGCAAAATTTGATGCATAGGGGCTGCCGCACCCCCTGGCTTGAAGTGGTTTCTATCATATACAGGGGTTGCAGTTCAATTCAATGGCTCTCAGCGCCCCCACTATAAAAGTTGTTCCAGCGCCCCTGGCTAGATGGAAAACGACCCCAAAGTTGGGTGTCGTTGAGATCTGGGATGTTGGCTTGGGCCATTATAATGATAGATGCCATTTGCAAAATCTAGCTCTGGATTTCAGATACGTCCAACGTCAATATGGGGCTTGGGATCAAGCCCAGCTCTCCTTTATTTTGCACATTTCTGGAGAAAACTTCTTCCACGGGATCCTTTCAAGGCCTTCACTGAGCCCAGATGTTCCTCTTCCTTGTTGCACATAGTCAAGGTGTACTGCTGTCCTTAGTAGGCTAGAAGAGGTGTTTACACTGATGTCAGCTGAAAAACATCAGACTCTCACAGCGAGGTATGCAGGCTCCTGCAAGATTTTTGGCAGCATAAGTGGCAATTCAGTTTATTAAGTGAATAAATACTAGTATATACTTCTTTGCTGATGTTCCTCTTTGTCTTTAATAGTAGCAGCTATTAAACTATGCAAGAGCAGGGGCTGATTAGGGTAGAAAAGAGGAACTGTGTTGATTATGGACACCAACCTTTGACCCCAGATTTCTATGGCATCTGCCCATGTCATTGTAACTTCCAGAAGCCTTCAGGAGACTTACACTAGAGGAGCAACTTTGCCCATGTCAACCCCAGGATCAGGGGAGCACAAAAGCCACCTTGGCTTTTCACTTCCTAAGCTGTGCAGTGAACCTCTCGTTTATAAATGAGGACCTGTGCTGCAATATGTAGCTAAATCTAATCAGCTAACTGTACTGAAGTATTTGGATCCAATTTAAATGGCTAACGTCGTTCAAATTCTCACTGAGGAGGTAAACAACACAGCAGACCAATGCCTGTTCCTAGCGATGGTTTTCTTCTTGTCTGTAGCTATTATATTTATTTGGTGCATGTAACTGTATGAAATAGACTCTTATTAAAGAGTTGACACGAAGCTCCAACACCAGGTGTAAAGACATCCTGAAATAACAGAAACATTTACAGAAAGAAAAGTTTTAAACAAATTATCATGAAATCAGACTTACATGCAAATTCCCAAGCCCCACTTTGAGAAACTCTTTGCCTTAAAAGGAGGGAGAGACAAAACTTGTATTTACAGCCCAACATCATATAGAGGAGGAGATGTCAGAGGGCATTACTTAAACCCCTTCAATTGCTTAAAATATCCTGTTTCAGGAAAAATTCAGCAAGTGCTTTGTACCTCTCAGTGGTGATGGCTGTAATTTGTTGTCATGCCCTCTCAATGGGGACTGAATTTTCCCTCCATGTAGCTCTTAAATCCCACTGAAACTTTATCTTGAATGCTTAATGCATATGTCTTGTGCAGGTCCTCTGGCAGAGGGAAGAATTTCACTCCAAACACTCAGCCCACAGGGTAAGAACCAAACAGCAAAAACATTCTTTACTAGGCTTTACCTTACCTTTCAGGTTTACTGGCATTCTCCATGCTTACTATTCTCAGCGTTTCTTTTCTTTTGGTATTTTATTCATTCATTTCTGCTTTACCTTACACACTTTACTACTTCTCCTTAATAGCCTAAAAACGACCACTCCATTATGTCTGACCTGTTGGCTTACATCTGATTGATCACTAGACTGCTGATAATATGTAGTAGGACACCACAGATACTTGTCCCCGTAATAGTATGCTGCCCGGTACTGACTGCCACGTTATAGTCTAGATGAGTTGACATTTTCAATATAAACCACAATTTGGGGGGTTTAATAGGTCGGCCTTTTGAAAAAGTCTCTTTCAGAAATTAGGTATTAATCTTACATGGTATATACTCTTTTGGACAAAGACCACATCTACCATTGTGGTTGAACTGTTCAACATAGCCCTGATCCTGGATCATGACCTCTGGGCACCATTAAATAAATAGCAATTAAGCGCTCAGTTCAGATATGATGCGACCAAAACGATTTCAGAGATGCCCCCCGTGCATATTTTTTCTGTTTTCAGCAGTAAAAGCGGAGCTGATACAAGGCTTTAGATGCTTTTACGCCCATTAACAGTAGCGCACTAAGCTTTAAAAACAAACGTTGCAAGGGTATGACGTTAGAGCAGCAAGCATTTGGTATTCATGGGTGAAAATCAAACAAAAGCCAAGGGCTTGTTTTCAAGACACCGTGTGCAGAGCTTTGCTTTTTTGTGATGAAAAAATCATTTCCACAGGCACTAAAATGGGGCCTTGCCTTGGTCAGAAACCTCTCATGAGTAACCTATTATTGGAAGGAGGATATGCACTTATTATGAAGACAAGAATGAAAAGAGAACACTAGCAATACTAGAAAGAAAAACTCTGAAGTCGTTACAACATGAGGAATGCAAAATTGTTTTAAAAAACCTCAAAATTTACAGCAATTCAAATTGAGACACAAACCAATTACTGGTTTCAGAGTAGCAGCTGTGTTAGTCTGTATCTGCAAAAAGAAAAGGAGTACTTGTGGCACCTTAGAGACTAACCAATTTATTTGAGCATAAGCTTTCGTGAGCTAAGGCTCACTTCATCGGATGCATGCAGTGGAAAATACAGTGGGGAGATTTATATACACACAGAACATGAAACAGTGGGTGTTACCATACACACTGTAACGAGAGTGATCAGGTAAGGTGAGCTATTACCAGCAGGAGAGTGGGGCAGGGGGTGGGGGGAACCTTTTGTAGTGATAATCAAGGTGGGCCATTTCCAGCAGTTGACCAGAACGTCTGAGGAACAGAGGGGGCGGGGGGAATAAACATGGGGAAATAGTTTTACTTTGTGTAATGACCTATCCACTCCCAGTCTTTATTCAAACCTAAGTTAATTGTATCCACTTTGCAAATTAATTCCAATTCAGCAGTCTCTCGGAGTCTGTTTTTGAAGTTTTTTTGTTGAAGAATTGCCTCTTTTAGAACTGTAATCAAGCGACCAAAGAGATTGAAGTGTTCTCAGACTGGTTTTTGAATGTTATAATTCTTGACATCTGATTTGTGTCCATTTATTCTTTTACATAGAGACTGTCCAGTTTGACCAATGTACATGGCAGAGGGGCATTGCTGGCACATGATGGCATATATCACATTGGTGGATGTGCAGGTGAACGAGCCTCTGATAGTGTGACTGATGTGATTAGGCTCTATGATGGTGTCCCCTGAATAGATATTTGGACACAGATGGCAACGGGCTTTGTTGCAAGGACAGGTTTAGTGGTTCTATTGTGTGGTTGCTGGTATTTGCTTCAGGTTGGGGGGCTGTCTATAAGCAAGGACTGGCCTGTCTCCCAAGATCTGTGAGAGTGATGGGTCATCCTTCAGGATAGGTTGTAGATCCTTGATGATGCGCTGGACAGGTTTTAGTTGGGGGCTGAAGGGGATGGCTAGTGGCATTCTGTTATTTTCTTTGTTGGGCCTGTCCTGTAGTAGGTAACTTCTGGGTACTCTTCAAACCAATTACTGCAAGCAAACAGGTGTAATGTTCCACACTTCTTTTAGACTTAGCTCTTCCGGGCAGGGATCATGTCTTCCTCTGTGTTTGTGCAGCACCTAATTCAATCCTGATCAGAGCCTTGAGATGTTACTGTTACAGAAAGAATACATCATAAACCCTAAATCACCCTCCCCATTCTTCAGACTTTCACCCAGAGGCCCATTTTCAGGGTCATTCAGCCTAGTGGGCAATTTTAAGCAGCAGAAGTATTATTTGTATTCCAGTAGCACTCAATGGTCCCAACTGAGATCAGAGCCCCATTGTGCTAGGTGGCATACAAACACACAGTGAGGGACAGACCCTGACCCAAATAGCTTAAATCTAAATAGACAAGACAGACAATAGATGTGAGAGGAAACAGCGGCACAGAGGGGTGACGTGACTTACCCAGGTTCACCACAGCAGGTCAGTGGGAGCGCCAAGAACAGAGTCCAGGTCTCCTGACCAGTGCCCTGTCAGCAGGACCATTGCATACTTTCTGTTCTCCACAGGCAGCCCACTTTTCTGTTGGTTGGATTAATACCAATATATCCTCTCTACTTTGCAGACACACTATCAGTCCAGCTCTGGCGGGGAGTGAACGTCAGACATCTCCACCGCACGCTGCAGACTGTTTACGTAAGGTTCAGGGACTGTCAAACCATTAAAGGCAAGGAAATTCAGAGTTAAAGCTGCAGCCTAAACACTGCCTGGCTCTCTGGGCTGAGTCACAGAACACAACTATAGTCACCGAGGTTGTGCCTTACCTAGACAGATGTTTAATTTTATTTTAACCAAGTTTTTTTTTGTTGCAGTTAGAGCTTCACATTTTTGCCCGGCCATTACACCATATTCTACCTATTATTACATATTTAGGGCCAGATCCTGCAAATTCTTACCTGCCTTAATAGTCTTTACTTATGCAACTAGTTCCTTCAATAGGACTGCTCACATGAACCTGGATTTTCAGATGTAGGCCATAAGATTATAATTTCCTTGGGGCAGGAACTTAATTCTCCTGTGTCTGGAACAGAGCTAAGCACAATTTCGACATATAACAAATCACAACTAGTGCACTTGGCTTCATTTGCTGGGATTCTCAGCAGCTAGAATAGAATGCATGGAATATCATTTATTGCCCTGCAAAACTCTAATAAGTAGCGATGCCCTTCGCTAAACCCTTCAGGCTGGACTCACATCTGGAGTCGCACTGCAGCTTGTGTGTGTCTGGCGAGAAGGATTTGACCCACTTGACAATTCTGAAAGATCCCTACTGAGGTAAAGTGAAGTATGCGAATTCCATACAATGTCAAGATTTGTACAGCACTCAAACCATGGCAAAGATGGAACGCACAGCTGGAACAAACAACT